AGCAGCAGAAGAATAAGAGAAATTTTCTGTAATCACGGCGGCACCTTAATTGTATGCAAATACATGAAGATAACACACATGTTTTAAGATTAAAGAAGAATTCTCCGTAGAGAATTATTGGTTATATGCGGAGTTATTTTGATTTTTATTTAATTTTCTTTTATTCGATTTTGATTTGTAGTCGGCTTGTTTTATTTTAAATTTTTTATACACAAAAATTATATAAAATGGATAATCGAGTTGAACACGAAATCAATTAATTCTTCTTTAAAGAAAAAAAAATAGTTAAATTTTTTTTATTCCATTTTAGAATAAAAATAAGTGTAATATGAATCTGAAATTTTGAATAATTATAAACTCTCAGGAATGTATGGGAATAAAATATAGTTTGATTTTGATAGTTAGAAGTCAACTACATAATTTGCATATATGTACGTATATGCACTTAGGTTTTAATAAGTTTCCAAAACAGAACAAAAAATATTTAGGGCTTTCACGTAACTGTGATTCGGTTTAAAATAAAGTCAACAATACTCTCTTAGTTGAATGACGTGAACGCGCAAAATTTATATTGCAAATGTCAGAAACACAGTGGTTTTATAACCAATCAACATTTTGGTTATCTGAACTATCAGTTCAAAGAAAGACCATGACATTCTCATAATAGGGCTATATTATAAAATTTTTTTATTTTCATAATTTATAGCCCTATTATTTATAATCAATATTTTAAAAATCTAATTTTTATCAAATTTTATTGAAAATTTAAATGCAAATAATAAAAAAGCAAAATATTGGAAATTAAATTTTATATTGCATTAAAACTAATTGAAAATTTGAAGAAACAAAAAATAAAAACTAATTTTCAATGTAGTTAAATAAGTATGTACACAAGTAAAAACTACGACCTAGTGGTCATGGCCAGTGATAACAGATTGACGCCTTTGTAATAATATGGATTATCTGCTGCGCATGGCAAACAACCAAAAACTAAAAATTAGAATTAAATAAATAAAGTAAAAATTAAATTAGACTAAAATTAGAATTATAAAAGTATTTCGCATATTCAAAAGGTTGATAAAAATTTATAGCTGACATAAATTGAAGAAAAAGAAAACTGTAAAAAAAAAAATAAGTGAATCAATTATGAAATTCTATTGTAGCCTTCAAAGTATCGTAAACTCACTCTTTTTACCGACCGTATTGTGTAAACAATAGGTAGGTTATGTGATGGCAACAAATTTTGCATATCGAGTTTTCGGTGGGAATGCACTTCTCCATAGTAGGGAAGTGTAAGTAAACTATTTTTAGCAACCTGTCGGTCCGTCGGTCTGTCGGTCTGTCGGTCTGTCGGTCTGTCGGTCTGTCGGTCTGTCGGTCTGTCGGTCTGTGTGTGCACGCGTGTATCTCAAGTTCTGCTGAACCGATTTTGATGAAATTTTATATGCAAGTTTATTTCCACCATGGCACGGATTGATCAACTTTTGGGATATATCAGGCCTTGGGAACTGCACTTTTTAGCGGGCCTGTTTTACATTTTTGAACATTTTGAAGAAAGTATTCAACCGATTCACTTGAAATTTCATATATAAGCTTTTCTCGACCGTCCGCAAAAATTCCTAACTTTTGGAAGAAATCAGGCATCAGCAACTAGACGTTTACTACAGGCCAAATATACATTTTTGTGTATATAAAGAGAAATAATCAACCGATTTCATTTAAATTTAAAATGAACATATAAATTTTCTTTATATAACATTGTTTTAATAATCCTAGTATTAAAACAATGAACATATAAATTTTTTGGAAAGATCAGGGCTCGAAAACTGATTTGCGGGCCGATTTTACATTTTTCACCATATCTACGGAACGAATTGATGGAATTTCTTGAAATTTGATATTTGAGTTCTGGTTTTTGAGTTCGGGGAATTCGGGTAGCGGAAAGCGAAACTCTACTAAGAGCCAAATTTGCATTTTTCTAGGTATGTTAACTATAAGCTTACTAATGTAGTAAAAGTTGGAAAGAAGTATTTAAAAGACATTTTTATAATATTCTGTAACCCTTTTACTTAACTAGACAATATACAATGCGGTTGGTTATGTGCTAACCACATCAGATTTTTTTGAGATGTATAGGGCATAAAGAAGACTCGTTATCAAAACTAGGGTGATTCAGAAAGCTATACAACAATGTAAACCATTGGTTAGAAGATCGAAAATGGGTAAAACTTTTGTTCTGGACTGGATGCCAAATCTCAAGGGTTTCCGAGTTCCTAGAAGTTTGAACGAATTTTCACGAAATTTTTACTTATCCAAGTTTATTTGATTATAACTTCCGTTCTGAAAAAAATAGGAACTTCAAAAAAATAGTTTCTAAAAGGCCTGGAAAAGGACTTAAAATAGACATGTTGCTTGATTCTGTATTTTATGTACCATCGGAATACCAAGCATTCGAACTTAAGGGAAAAAGTGAGTAAAATACAGTTTTCTTAACTTCTTTCTTAATAAATTTGGATGTGCTTTTGAATAGCGCAACCAACCGCATTCTAAATAAAAATTTGTTGAATAGACAAAATAAATAAAACAAAACACGGACGGTGAAGCGCAAAGAAATGCTGAGCGCCAAATTAAAAATTTTGTGGGGGAACGTTTTGAAAGTTTGCAAATTTGCGGGAAGGAGCCAGTTAATTAGAAAATATCGTTTTGTTATTTTCTATTTAAACTAGCATAAAATAGCTAGTAGTGTTAAAATTGCTATTATCAACTGACGTAATTAGCACATATTAGTATTTCATATCCTTTTCAGTGTTTCTCACGGTTTCTACCTGAACTAAACATTCTAAGACAGCATTTCGACACTAAGTACGACACCAAAATCTATACCAAACCAAGAGAACTATTCGAAATTTGTATTGGTGTATAAAAAACGCATTTTGAAAAATTTGTTACTTACCTATCTTTATTGCACTTAATTTGTGAGGTTAATGCTGCAATTAGATAACTCGCAATTATTGATTTAGAGATATTGACTTTTAAAGATTAAGCAATAACAAATAATTTATCATGAAAATATCTAGATTTGGCATTATCATTTTCAGATGGTAATGAACACTTTTAAGCTTAAATTTTGGTCTCAGATGAAAGAGTATTCGATTTTATATGCCGCTTAAGTTAATTATCTAAAAATATAAAATTTTCGAGTAATATAGTTGTAGCATTAATCTCAGGCATTAAGTTTAAGGTCAGAGTATCGTTTAGTCTAGGATAAAAAACATCGACACATTTCTTTTAAACATGCATCAAACAAAATCAGGTAAGAGTTTGATTTCAACTTTCAGAACACTACGAATAAGTGATAATTAAAAATTTAGTTATTCCGATTAACAACTTATATATTAATCAGCGATTCATAATTACTACAGATTAGGGCTATGATAATTCTGAGTCAAAACGAAGTCTTTTATATCAGAAACTGAACAAAAAACTTGAAATGGTAGTTCCGTTTTATTGGTACAAAAGTGCTTAAAAAATAGAAAAAATTTCTATTAGAAAATTTCTTTCATGTCATTCGTTCTCTAAAACTTAATATTAATTTAAACTAATACTATACCACAAAAAAAGGTTTTTACTCTAATAATTCTTTAACATCGTCATCTCTTCTTTGATTACTTGCTGGTAGCGCTTAGTTTTCCTACATACTTTCCTGACATTTCTTAATAAACAAGCTTATATCAGCTAATTAGTAGAAAAAATAGAACTGAATTTGAAAAACACGGTTCAGCAATAATAATTTAATGGAACTGCTGCGTGTAAACCACCAGTGATGCCTTAAAATAAATTTCTCAAAACATGTTTTACTGCCACATATTTACTAATATCATTCATTAATTGTTTACTTCACTAAAATATACAAATACTTATTCTTTTAAATAAAATAATTTCTTTCCTATAAAAAAAACAAAATTAAAAAAATAGAAAAGTAGTTTCATTATAATAAATAGCAAAATTTATTTAAAAATTTTTTAAATAATTTAATAATAATTTGTTGAAAATGAATATATTAAAAAATGGTAATGTCTCTACTATAATATAAACAATTTTATATTTATGTACAAATTATTTTACCCGGAAAAACTCATCAGACAACTTTACATTAAATAAAAATTATACGAAAACAAAATCATATAGTAAAAATATCAGGAAAAAAAGAAGAAAAAAAAACAATTTACAATTTAATTCAAAAAAGGAATTTCTATTGAATTTTTCTTTGAATTCTTCAATAATGTCCCAAATATGGTGGAAATTACGTTTTGTTTTTTCTTTAAGTATAAAATCATCAATTCTGGTTATCATTGATATCTTTCCCATTACAGTATATTTCAACGGTAGTATATTAAATAAAAATAAAAGTCAAGTGTTGTATTTTTATTGTTTTTTTATTTGAAATGATTAAAAATGTCGATAGAAAAAAAAAACATAGGATATATATACACACACTGACACACAACACAATATAAAAATTGTAATCATTGAGAAAGTGATGTTGACTTACCCATAGTAACGTTAATGTTCAAATGATTTTGATTTTATGCAGACGCCGCACGTTCAATATACAATTTGAAAATTTTTATTATATACACATATTCTTATTTACTATTCTTGTATATTAAATATTAAAAATCTATATAATTTACTTGGTTTTTTTTTAATAAATTTAATATTAATTATAATCAATAAATATTTCTTAAATGACATGAGAATTGCTTAATAAATTAAACTTATGACCAAGTTCAGGAATCACAGTAATTTTACGTCATTCTAATAATTAAAAAAAATGTCATATAAAAAATAATATTAAGAGTTACTCATTTTAGTAAAAATTTGTTTTCTCTTAAAAGAGAAATCATTTATTATTAAAATCTAATTCTCTTATTTCAAATTTATTACATAATTAATGTATTCAAATTTGTTTCTTCTTTTTTTTTAATTTTTTTTTTTAGTTTAATCAAGACTTATATTCATCATCTGGTGTTCCCTTAGCAGCATCATCTAGTGCATCTGGTAGTTCACATTCACCATGTAGTCCTATTTTACCATCAAGTGTAACAGCAAATGCAGCAGCAATAGCAGCTGCAGCATCACATAATGTTGCAGCAGCTAGTACTACAATACCAACATTACCAATTGGTAGTAGCGGTGGTGGTAGTGGTAGTAATAGCTCAATACATAGCCGTACAATACAAACCAAAGAAGAAGATATTAGTACAGGTAGAAGTGATAATGATGGTGAGCTAACTGTATATTAAATAATAATTGCATTTTATTGCAAAAATTTAATATTTTAATTTAATTACAACTTGCAACTAACAGACTTCGTATAATAATTTTCTTATACGTCAAGTTCCTTAAATTTTGTCTTATAATTTCCGGATTTCATTCAGTAAATGAGAAAAATAGTTTTTCGTCACTTTAATAACTTTGTATAATAACAAATTATCATACAATGCACTGATATTTTATTATTGTGTTTAATTAATGCCGTATTGTGATTATATACCGTATTAATGCTATTTTGAAGTCAAGGTTGCTTTCATGGAAAACGGATTTTTCTGCATATTGGCCGAATTTTAGTTTATTGTTTCTCTACAATTAATAGTGAAAAAATGGCAATTTTAATACTTCCATTGTTCAGCACATAAGTGCCATTGCTTCAGCACATAAAAATTTCCTTGTAGAGAAATAGATTTTGAGAGAAATTGAATTTCTCTCAAAAATCGATTTGTATAAAAAATTCCACTTTTCTATACCTACTTAGGAGTCTAGTAATTTTGTACAAAGACAGATGGACGAACAGACAGGAACAGGGTAAAAGAGAGACAAACAAACAGACAGAGATGAGGAGGGACAGAGTTGAAAAAACAGCACATTATTATTAATTTTGTTAGAAATGTGCTAAAACAGTAAAACACTTAAACGAAAGTGTAAGTGTGTAACTTATGCAAATTACCTTAGAAAGTTTTATACTTCAGTAGCACTGTGTATCAAAAAAACGTTGATGTTTGTGAAAAAGTTGATCCAGTTTTAGTCATTCCGTTGGAGTGTTATAAGTTACCTTTCCTTTATATTTATACTGATTTTATGACGTTTGCAGAATTTTAAATATAAACTATTTTTCAATTTAAATTTTAAATAAAAACAATTTTTCCCTATATAACGTAGCAGAGTTATTTCTTTATTTAAAATTTAATAGCTTCATGCTTTTAATAGACACATGCACATGTATTTCTTTTTGTACAAGAAATATTTTGACTCCAAATAGACGTTTGCTATTTGATTTCCGGAAAATTGTTCTATAGCTACTTTTCTTTTTTCTTTAGATTTTTTTCTCATAAGCCCTAAGGTATGCAATTTTTTCTTTGAAGTTTTTATTTTCTCCTTTTAATTTATTTCTTCTTCAGATCTTTTTCAGATGTTTCGATCGTGGCTTATTTAAGTTTTCTTTAACTAATTCCCCTGTTTTTTAAAATATTATTTATTGTTTTATTTTAATTAAGGCCAAATTAATTTAAGGCAATTTTATTAGCTGAAGGTCAAATAAAAACAAACATTAAACTTACAAGCTCAATAATTTCTTTAAAAAAATCAAGTTTAGATTTTTAATTTCTTTGTCTCCATTGCCTCACATTTTATATTCATGAAATTCTAGAAAAATTATACATAGCTGAGAAAATTAATTTTCATGCCATTTAATTTCCCATTTACTGGCTATATGTATTTAAATTTGATTTCAGCTGCGTTTTCGACATTCTATATTTGTTTTAATATTTTTAAAATTTCTTTCAAAGTTTTAAAGTTAAAATGAGCCCAAATTGAATATTTAATAAGTTTCTTATTAGCGTTCTAAAAAAAATTTTTTTTGTACTTTTCCATTTGAATATTGTTTATCTCTTTTTTCTATTTAACGTCTCAGAATTGCGGCTCGAATATACTTCGTTTATCTATTTTTCTTAACACACAATAAAGGACACTAAAAACTTAAAACTATAATATGCTTCACAAAATTCATAATAAATTAAAAAAATTCTAAATTTCCACAGCTTTTATTAATTTTCTAAGCACGAAAAATAATTTTGTAAAAAATGTAACACTCATAACGTAAAACAAGATAAAAGAAGTGAACGCATTACCGTGTTGCAGTAATTGTGCTTAAATATATTGCATTATTGCTAAACAACTAAATAATACAATGATATTGAAAATAATGGAAAAATTGCCATTACAATGGAGCGTTTTATAAAATGACGGAAAATTAATTTTTTTTTCACCAATTTAAAAAGCATATAACTTGAAGGTTACGTGAGGATTTTGTTCTAACGAAATGATTTTTCAACTAAAAATTCTATTTACCTTCAAAATGTATGCGTTTTTTAAAGGATTGGACTAAAGGACAGATATCTAGACTGATTGAAATGCATAGTACATGAAACTAATTGATAAATTTGAAATAACTCTGATTTGTCGCAAATATTTGACATAGACTAGAAATTTACCGTCGGCAAACGAACCATTTTATAGATAATACTAATTTAAGAAGGAGCATCACTTACACTTCTTATGTGTGTCAATCCATGCTAGTTCTTCTATAATCTATATTATTTTAAAATTCATAATTAAATGAAATATTTAAACATACTTATTTTTCTGATACTAGCTATGTATATTGAAAATAATTTTTTTTTTTTGCAAACTTTTATATTTAAAATTAACTTGACCTACATTTCTATTTAAGAATGCTATTTTTATAAAATTTGTGACTCATCGACAAATATTTGTACAAACTTTTAATATATGAGTACATACATACATAAATGTATGTGTATGACTGTATTAATAATTTGACTAAAATCTATTAAAATAATTTAAAATGATAATTTGCAAAATATTTTGTTTTAATCACAAGGGAATCATTTTGTATTTTATAATTTTTGTTAAAAATACTACAAAAGACTACACACTAAAAAAAAAAACAAAAAAAAAACACAAAAATTAATTTTTTTTCTTCTTTTTCTTCTTTTTATAAGTAATTTTTTAAATATTTGTGAAATTCCATTTGAATATTTGAAATCACATATCGCCTCGCCACCTACAATTTTTTTTTTTTCATTTTTATTGTTATTTTATTTCTGTTTTCCTCTAAACTTTTTTTTTGTTTTTTTAAATAAAGTTACCGCACACGCAAATTAAAACAAATTAAGTTTTGTTTTTTTTTTTATTTCTGTTTTTCTTTTTATTTAGTAAACAACAGATTTTTAGAACAAAACACAGTATACCAGTGGCGCAAAACAAAAAAAAAAAACAAACATAAAGAAAAAATTATAAAAATTCCTCAGAACTAACATAAGTTTAATTACAAATATTTTTATTATGAAAAAGCGTAAAATAACAAAAAAAAAGAGAAAAATTAATAGGAAATATTGCAAAAATCTCATAAGAATGGCGAGCATTTAAAATTCCAATTTGTCAAAATAAATCATAAGGAATCTTTTAATATTATACAAAAATTAAAGCACAAAATAGCAACAATAAAACAGGCGAACTCACGGCATTTTAGTATAGAAGATTAAAAAAAAATAAAACAAATTTTAGTTCATTTTAGTATTATTAAATTAGAATAACATTATTTTGTACATATATACTCGTACATACAGATATTAGCGCAAAAAGTATTTAATTATGACGCCATCGCCATGCTATTATTGTAGTTATTAAAAGAATTTAAAATGGCGTTCTATTCTCTACGAAATTCTCATTTCAATTCAAAAATATTTTTCGGGTGACAACTTCTTAATTCTATTTTACTATTTATTTACTTGATTTAAAATTGTATGTGACATATGTGAATGTATGTAATTATTATTAAATAAAAATATTTTTGTTTTTTTGTTTTCGCTTTTGCTCTGCTGACTTAAAATCGCATGCCGTCATTAATGATAATTTGTTTTCCAAACTAATATTAGCAAAATGTAATTAATAATAAGGCAATGGATCAAATCAACAAATGATTTGTAAAACATAGGGTCTTTTTCATACAAATTCAGAAATATTGAAAATATGACGTTATTTTGGTAAATTATTATTGAAAAGATTCTTCTATTATGACCTCTTGTTGAATATTTCTAGGAGGTTATTTATGATTCAGTTGATAAAAAATTATTACTCACCGCGTGGCGTGGGTTATGTGATGGCACTATATTTTGCATATCTGTAGAAATGTTTTTGGTAGAAATGCACTTGTCTATGGTTTGAGGAAGCGTAAATAAAGTATTTTTGAAAAGATATCGGTCTTTCAGTTTATGTGTACAAGCATGTATTTTATGTTCAGCGAAACGATGTTAATGACAATTCACATACGAGTTTATTTTGGCACGGATTGATCAACTTTTGGAATGTGTCTCGGAAATTGGACCTTTTTAAAATGAATTAGGAAATGGGGGTCGATTTTACATTTTCTACGATATCTTAAGAAATAATTCAACGAATTTCTTGAAATTTATTATTTGAGTTCTATTTACTGCCAAAACTCACTGGCGAACTTCTCAGGGAGCACGGATGGCATAAAACGAACCTCTACCAAGAGTCAAATTTACCTTTTTCTAGGTATGTTAATAGAAAGCTTTCTTACTTCCTTAAAATTGGAAAAAAGTTTTTATGTTCTGCACAATATTTACACTTTGCATTGTGCAGCTTTCTTGTTTAATTAGACAATACACGATGCGGTCGTTTATTCGCTGATCACGTCAGTTTTTTTATAGGATTATGGGAGGATTTATAGAAGGAATTTTCTTTCTTTTGAAGAAAGTTCGATATGAAGATGAAAAATGTTTTTAACCATTTTTTTTAAAACCATTATTAAAATATAAATTTTCGTTGTAAAATTAAAATTCTTTCAAGCTAATATGAACCATCATTTGGGTATTTCACGGTAGCAGAGGAAAACTATTTCTTGTTTAGTTTGTTGGATTTAAAACCTATTCAACACATTTGAACATAATTTAACCTCAACAAACAGATGGCACAAGTTTCTCGAGGTTAAATTAATTTTTTTATTTCTGATTATGTCATGCGTTACATTGATTTTCCTTTGAATACACCTTTAAATAAAAATATAATTAAATATTTCATAATTCCATGATAATTTGTGAATTGATTCAGACCCAGTCCCGATTTATTAAAATTAAATAATTGGTGCTATCTTATTTATTTAGACCTGAAATTTTATACTATTT